TTTTTTTTTTTTTTTTTTTTTTTTGCAACATAATCATACATCGAATTAACATGTTAATTATCTTCTTTTGCTACAAAGTTTTACATTTCGTTCTTTATATGTAATACTTTATAAAAATATTTCAATTTTATTTTAATCCAATCTATGTCGATAATATAATATAGATAAAATCCAAATAGAAAATATATAAAACGGCTCTCCAACAGTATGTACTTGATGAAAATTTTAATGAGGCACTTTTTAAACGCAATTAATTAATTTCAATGCGACAAAGATTGCGTTTGACTGCTCATGGATGAAAGGAAGATAATTCTAACTAGTTTTAACAAAAGCAATGTGCCGAAACAGAAACATTTCCTTATGAAATATTTATGTACTGTAGATGCTTTATACTTTGAATATCCTCATGTTAAGTATAAATGACTTAGTTAGTGGATTACCAGTCCATCAAATAATATTAACATAAACCATTCTTTAAAAATTATAATCCTCATCTGAAATTGTTTGCCGAGTTTCAATTATTTTTAATGATTTTTAATGATTTTTAATGATTTTTAATGACATTGAATGAATACATTTATAAAGATATTAATTTTTCTCTAATTACCAAAATACACTTGTCATTAGAAAATTCATAAAGTATATATATATATATATTTTGGAATATGGATCAATTTAAATTTAATTTTACTTATTCATGTATTTCATTACACAGAATGCAAATTCGGATGTACTTCGTATAATAACTACTAATAAAATTCCAGAATTCAAAGCTATTAATACTTTAATTGCTCTCTTGAGAAACTTGTATCTTTTTTCGGGCGATTATACGAAGAATAAGTTTGCTTCTCATGCATTATTGAACTGCAAACTTGGGAAAATAACTTTTAATCTAAAAGGAGCGAATAAATGAAAACTGATAAAATAATGTTCCATATTCACCGATTATCATATAATATTTATCGTTATATAATTTATATTATAATAGCAATTATTTAAGCATTAATGAAGAAAACATTTTTATTTACTGCTCATTTAATAATAATACTGCGCATATTAATACACGTTTCAGTTAAGATTTTTTAAGATATCGATTAAACGAGTATCGTTATAAATGTATGGCTATAATAAATCTATCGTGTATTCATATTGAAATTCAATAACTTCGTTGTTGTCTTGGATGTGTCTTTTAAAAAATAAAGTCTTCATAATTAATCCGTGTGATGGATAATCCTTAAGAATGTAGGTATGTTAATAATATATTAACATTATTTATAGTAATTTATAGTATTCGGTTATTTATAGTAATCGTATGTGAAAAAAAATTGTGCCCTAAGAAAATGATATGTTATTCGTTCAGTTGCTGCGTTATTTTTGATTATGTTTAACTATTGCTGTTAATAAAAATTTGAACGCTCTGAAAGTCCATTAAACCAAACATTAATCTCTTATTTATCTGTGTGAATGCAGGCTGACAGATACACATACACGTGTAAAGTTACTCGCATGTATCATGTACTTATGATGAAACAATGAATTATTCGTATAAAGTTTAAACGCAAATGCAGATCATGTGACAAAGCACAGAGCATTAAGCGCTTTGTAATATATTATTTTAATATATTGTAATAATTATTGAAAATTGCCACACAAGTTACGTAAATGTATAATCCGGTCTAAGTAATTAAAGAACAGTTTTTAACAAATTTCTCTTACAAAATCTTTAAAAGTTCCGAGTGAAAAAAGTTCTTTAAAAAGAAATCTTTAGGTAAATACATTGTAATTACATCTAAATTGCGATTATATCCTGACCCAGCACTCCTGCATTATGCAGACTAATATATAATAGTATAAGTTAGGTATAACTTGGCCGATCTCGAAATTGCCTCGATAAACTTAATGAAATGAAAATCGTAAGAGTTTTATTAAAAAAAAAAAAAAAATAATAAAAAATGGACGATCGACTCAAATGTAGCGGCATATCCTGAACGATTGAGCCACATAACCGATCCACACACTCGATCAAAGCCTATCTCGAGCCAATGAGGCCGATGCATCCAAGAGTCGAGGCGGAAATCGGAAAAGAGAGCGCGAGGATTAACGTAATTTACAGAAGCGAGGACTGAAGTAATAATAATGCGGCTGGGGAGAAAGGGGGCCCGAGGTGAAAGCCAGCTCGTAAAAGTTAGCCGTCCGCATGCTCCCTATTCCCATGCTTTGGCTCTTCGACTCGCGGATATTGCTCGAATTAATTGGTTTACCGTCACGCGGACGTAGGGCGAAGCAAGGGTCGCACGTGCGTATTAAGCACTTGCTAACGTGCCAATGCCAGCGGGGCTGGGGGAGGGGGTAAGAACAAAAATTGGTGAGAAACAAATACTTTACTCGTCAAACGCGCATATGTCGATGTGCTCGTGGATACGTAGAGACGTAGATGAATGCCTCTGTATACAGACACGTGGAAGGGAATGACTTGATTAATAGGTCAGTGGTGTCTATAGACGTATGATATATTATTTTCATTATTAATTTGAAATTGTTGCTGAATTCGTAGAAATAAATGTAGAACCAACAGGTCAGCTACTTTATTCATGGACTTAACTTTGTTTATGGAGATGAAATTTAAACAAAATTATCTCTAATTTGTTTCCATGTCTTATAATGTATTGAACGTATTAGAATAATCGATGGCCTTTGAAATGTTCGCGTTAATTCGATAATTTTAATCATGGTTTCGAGTATATTTGTAATTTATTTTATATAGAGAAGAAGCAGGAAGTATGGCATATTTGTGTGAAAAAAATTAAATTGGATATAATGAAAGTGGCTTCGAATATTGAGTTTATAATTTCATTTTTCATCTACCTATTTACAATATATCGATAAAATAATACAAATTCATCAAGATTTTCATTAGTTTTACGATGAATAATTAATAAGATATACGCTAGTGGCCGTTAAAATTACTATGTGGGATTATTTAGTGGAAGCTTTATATTTAAAATATTCCTTCACGGGCTAGATTTGTCAATTCTCCATTGCAATTTGTAATTAGGATTACTACGGTTGGATAAATCGTTGCACATTCCTTGAAATTCTAGTTACTAGTTCAAATATTATATTCTGTATTACGAAACAATTGCATTGGCAATTTATTATGATTTATGTTTGCATTATTTAATTTAAGTCAAATATTCTGTCACTGTATTATTTTAGTTTGAATGTATGTACAAAGAATTTAATACATCTATATGGCTGAATTAGTATGTGGTATGTTGGACGAGAAGATTATTTAACGAGATAATCGTTGTTTACGTGATCGAAAAGACTGGAAGATATGAAAATTTTATCAAAATAATTTTGTCAATTACTTCTAATAATATACATAAAGTAATTAAATTTATATATTAAATAAACATAAATAAAGGCCCGTTTCTATTATTAAAAACCAATGTACTAATCAATAAAATAAAAAAATATAAAATATTTATCACAATGACAACGTCACTAATTGCTTATATTATAACAGGATTTTATTGGTTAAAACAAAAAAAAAAAAAAAACAATACATTTAGTTTAGTACTTGTTTATAAATTCGTAGTAACACAACTTACGAAACTCTTATAGTTCGCGATTTGATGAGTTGCCGAAATGTGGATGAGTAGTGTGAGTTAGGGATCGCATATTGACACGGAATTCAATTTTTTTCCATGCGTTTCTTAGTTCCGCAGCTTAATCTTGCACTATCGTATTGCTCTCACAAGTCTTATCATTCACACAGTTGCCATTTTCACTAAAAACATCTCTTTATGGAGCCTCGAATGTTCATTTTACGATTCTTTTCATGCTTCATTGAATCACCCTTCTTCATTCTCACGATATAGAGAGGCAAAGAAAATATTCAGACGAGTGATAAGATTCTATAATATATTCCAAAAGTTCGATTCAATCCCATTCAAAGGTACAATTCTTGCTAATAAAATGTTTCCAACCTAACAAATTCCATTGTACCTTGTTGTTTTGGAAATTAATAAAAATAACTGGATAATATGAAAATAATTTGTGGATTATGGTTATAATACTAATTTATTTCAACATATTACTTGGTCAAGTGTATCTCAGTGATTAACTCACGTATCGTATGTGCCTTTTATCAAAAATCCAGTTGATCAAAATCCGCAACACAAAACATAAAAAGCACATTCTTTATCATGACAATGGGAAGCCTTAAATATGGAAGTTATAATAAATGAAAGTAGGCAATGTTAGAAGCGCCCTTAACCATAAAATTTATCAACCTCAACAATCTCATAATTCATTTTTGTGTACGGAGCGAGAAAAGTAGCCATGAATAAGGAATGCAGGACAATATAGAGTCCCTAAGGAAATGAAAGACAAGCGGGCGGCATTGGATCGTGTCAACGCGAATGCGAATCACCGCGGGAATACGAATCAAGAGACGTTTGTGAAAGAAGATTATTTTAGGCAAATTAATAGAAGGGTCGTTAAGTCAATCGCCGAGATTAGAAAAAACTGGCCGAGGATGCTGAGCGCGAAAGTCCGGGTTTAAAAATTCAATCGGGCCCGAGAAAGGATCGTGACGGGGGTTGAGTGGGGATGCCGTGGGATGGGGTGCCCGCTATGGCCGAGGTCGCTTGATGAGCATGCGCGGGTGGGAGTGGCGTCGCGGCGTCGCGACGTCGCAGGTTCCGGATTCTCGGCGCCGGCACTCGCGCGCTGCCTCGAGAATCATATCAACGCCACGCTCCCGGTGACGTTGCGCGCGGTCTACGACCCACGTGGACCTTTGACCACTACCACCACCACCACCATCACCACCATCACCATCACCATCCCCTTAGTAATCCCCCTCCGCTATCGCCTGCACTGCCGATCGCGAGTGTCATTAGACCGGTATATGCGCGCCGACCTGAACACGAGGTGAGCGCGAGGAAACCAATGGGCCACGGGCCCGAGTGAGTGTCGTGCCGTGATCGGAGATGAGGAAGACCCAGATGAGGAATCTCTATCACGAGAGCTGCTCACCAGGGATGCGGCTCTCACTACTGGCTGCCTTCCTCTTTGCCGTCCTCGCCGCAGGTGATTAGAGTTCATATTGCGACCGTAGATTACTAATTCGAGAACGGGGACTTGAGTTTCCCCCTATCCTGCTGTGAATCCTTATTTCCTTTTACGTTCGACATTCACGAATTACTCTCGCGGTTTATGGAAATTTCTTAATGCTGTGTGTGAAACTTCCTCACGATACTGGAAGCGACGAAGCGATAGGAACTATTACATCTCCATGTTGGAAAATTTAAAGTTTTTATGTATTATACGAAAAAATTTCAAAGCCACTAGTTTGCTTGTGTATAAACTTAACTTATATAAAATTCTGAAAGATTAATTGTTTCGAGCGGGAGAGGCTTGATTGTATTTAGAAGTGATTGTCGAAGTGATTTTTAAAGGAATTGATTAAAATTGTATTCAGCGGGGCTTAATTTCAAAGTTGTAATTTTGTAAAACTGCTAACTTAAATCAACTTGAATTTAATGATTTTCCAGTATTGTCAATTAAGTATGTTGAAAATTCGAATTCCCAAAGCCATGGCAGTAATTTTAAGAATCTTGATTAGGATGCTAAAAGTCTTAAAGGAAAATGATTTGAAATGTAATTACGGTATTTATTGCGCTAATAATAAAATTGTTTACAAATCACATAATTAAATTCATATGTACGTAATATAACATATAACATAAAACATAATACATATAACATAATTTTCTTTTATAACAATATCCACTTTAATCAATTATAATGGAAATTTATACATAGTCAATTGAGTTTATATAGTTGATAATCGATTGCGTAATCAAATCATGAATTTATGTGCGATAGTAAACCATCGATACAAATAATAGCTTTGATTAATAATTCATCGCATTCTACATGAACTTGCAAATGATAACAACAGTCTTATAAATACGTAATAGTGAATTTAAAAATCTCCGAATTTTAATAATTCAATTTTTAATTCGTCAATTAACGCTTAATTGGTTAATTACCTTTTATAATTATAGTTATAGTGCGATTGATTTTATTTTTTTTTTTTTTTTTTTTTTTTTAACTAAATTTCGATTGATACTGTTCGCTTGCTACATATAAACTTATAGCAGGGAAGAAATAATTTATATTTTTACACATAAAATATCGTGGTTATTTTATTATTTGTAATATGGAAAATGCCAAATACAATCAAATATTATCATTTATTTAAAAAAATAAAACAGAAACAAAATGATACATTACAAGCCAGGTAATATTTAGTAGTATTAAATTCTGCTCCAAGAGCTTTGTAATACTTTTGGCAGCCAAGTAAAGTAAATAAATAGCGATGCATATCAAATAAATTTGATTAATTTGTGTAATATTGGTCAGGAAAATATGAGAAAAATACCTTTCATATTTAAGATGCCTATGCATTAATATTATTCATAAATAAGTAGTTGAACATTAAAAATATAAATATTACTTCAAATGTAATATTTCAAATATAATCGGTATACTGAAAAACTTTTTAATCTAACTCGCATCATTATTTATAAAATTTACTCGATTATCATGCATTTGTTTTAAAAAATTCATGTTATTTGTCCATATTTTAAAATCCTTTCAAATTATATATATATATATATATATATATATATAATAAAATGGAATGATACGTTACCTCTTGTAAACAAACTCTTTTTATATTACAACGACTAATAATTTTGATATGTAATTTGAATATATAAGTGAATAGATAAAATGTGTTACAAATCAATTGTAAATAGTTATTAAGAAGTATTTGTAATAATAAAAAAACGGAAATTTGTCTGTTTAATTAGTGCATAGTCTTTAATAAAGATGTTGTTTATGAAAATTCAACGAACTTTCAAAAAAAAAACAATTTCAATTGTTTCAAATATTTTATAGAATAAAGACTTTAAAGTCCGAATAGAAAAGTTCGATATAATTCTATTCCATTTCGACAAATAATATATTTACGTATATCAAACAAAGCTCCATTTGGAATAAATAATAAATATTCTTGTATACATATAGAGAAAGAACAGCGACAGTTGTCTGCCAGTTTCTTCCAGCTTCACTTAATCGTCCAGTTCGAGACAACTCTAAATGATTCACTCTAAAAGAGCCATATTGACGTCATGGGCGCTTGAACGACGGTAACAGCTATTACGATAAATCTGCTTAAATGACGCAAAGTTATAAAACGCTTTCTCGCCTTTGCACTATTTTTATAAACGACAATCGTAAATGATCGTGAGATAAGAAATTTCCCGTGTTTTATGCCTTCAAAATTCGTCCTGTATTATCACGTATTTTACAATAATTATCCATTTCCCGGTATCAATTTGTATAAAATATTCTTCTGCGTGAATGAAAATATTGGAATATAGGCATTTCATTTCAAATTACGTGTCTACAAAATCGATTATTCGTACCTTATAATTAGGTGATAAACATTGAAAATTCTATAGAGCAAAAAGCTGTAAAAAGATTGTAATTATATTTTATAAAAAAAAAAAAAGAATAAATACATAATAATTTAACTTTACTGCAACGCAAAAATTAATAATAGATAATAATAATAATTATCTTAAATTTGTATAAAATTAAGAAAATACTTTTATAATATTAAGACATTATATATATATATATATATATATATATATAATAGTGCAATAAGTACATGGGAATATAAATAAAAAATTTATCAGATTTTTTGTGTAAATAAAAATGAATGTTTACGATGATCGATAGTTGCAAGTTTTCTATACTGAATATTTCACACTTGATTTTGATTTTGTTCTCGTTGTTGATGTTGATTAATGATACTAGATATTATCGATGCTCGTTATAAATAAATAATATAAATAATATAAATAAATAATTATAAATAAATAAATAATAAAAATTGGTAATGAAATATTACGTAAAATCTACGCGTTACTTTTCAATTTATGAGAATTTTATAATTCTTACGCATTCGTTTATAGATTTAATAGAACCTTTAATAGAAACCTTTAGTAGACGAGAAACTTTCTTATGACAGATTAAATTAACAAAGCTCGTAAATGACAATGTAATCCTACGAAACAGCCTTCTTATGAAATTTTGAAAAGTGCTCCATATTAATAACGTGTAAACGTTATAAAATATTAAACTTAATTGATGTTTCAAGTAAGTACAAGTAAGGAGAATATTAATGTTGTCGGCGAATTAAGCGATTGGAAAAAATGAATGACTATGCTCTCAAATAACTTAAACTCGTATATAATTTTAAAAAAAAAAGAAAATGTTAAGTAACGAAATTGATTTATTATATATTTTTGAAAAACAAGATTTTATTATATTGTCGCTAAAACAAAAATATTACAAATAAATTATCGAGGGATAAAAATCTGTTTTTATTTTTTATTTTTACTTATACAATTACCAGTTCGTTAACCAACACATTTAAATACCGGGAAATATAAATATGTCGAAATAAAGGTTAAATAATAAAATTTTTTAAAATTACCAGTATTTTGTCCCATGCAATTTTATCCAATTTTATACATTATAATGTAATTTAATTTTCAAATTAATATCTTTTATTTTTAGCCACGAATTATTCATTTATCAGATCAGTTACTATTTTGGGAATAATTTTAATCCAGCGAAATAATTATATATCCTTACGTCCAATGAATATTGATAAACCATTGGTTTTATTGCTAACGAAATTTCATAATATTTCTTTTTAATTAAAAAATAAAATACTAATTTAATGCAACGACAATATAATGTGGCAAAAGTTCACAAAATTTGAATAAAGAATATTCATCGTTTTAATATAACAATAAAATATGAAACAAAATATTACGATTATTACAAAAAGATGAAAATTATCGCCATTCTAGCGTGAATGCAGTTAACTTCGACAAATAAGCACTTTTAGTATGAATTTCTCAACCTTCGTACATCGGATGGATGTTACTCGGAAGTACAGATCGACAAACGAAAAAGAATCGAATAAATATAGAAAGAAATGTCAGAGAGACGTTATGAGGCTGGCCAGGGGAAAGACACAAAAACAAAAAAATTAGGTAAAAAGGGAAAAGCAATAATACGTCATAAAGACGGAACGAGGCTGACCAATGGCGTTGTGGTAGTCCGGACATTTTCCCATATACAGCTCGCATCGCACGCACACACGCCAACGACCGCGTATTTAGAATACATTTAGAATAAATCCCATTGGTGGAGATTATGCAAACTGCAGCCAATTCGATTCAAGTGCACCGCAAATAACAGCTCTTTTGCCCATTCGACTAAATGCGAGGCCGTTTATACGGCGACGATCCATTAGAATATCGCATGTAACGCGTAAACCTCCGCGTGTACCATATCTTCCTCCGTTACCTCGCTTCCTTTGGCTCTGCTGATCCTTTTCCGCCTTCCTGGAAACTCGTCGTCATCGCTGCCGATTCAACGACAACCAACTCCTGCATCAATTGCCCATTTTAAGAAATACGTTTGTAGACATTCGCCCGCTATATCGATAAACATTTTGCGGTGGCACATTTTCAGAAGGGCCTTCAAACGAGTGAGACACTGCACTGCCAATCGAGTGCAATAAGATTCTACGGGAACTTCATCAGGTTTTACAGATTACTAACAATTGCGAAAAAGCACTTTACTTATTGCAGACAGACGTTCTTTAATCAAACGTGATGAACAACATTATTAAAACATGTGTGTGTGTGTGTGTGTGTGCGCGCGTGCGTGTGTGTGTGTGCGTGTGTGTGTGTGCCTTTACGTAATAGCCAGTGGAAATATATTGTCATTAGGCTATGGATTAATGTTACAATCGATAGTTTATTTTTTATAAAGGAAAGCTTTTTAAGATCACGATTAACAATTGTTAGATTCTATTGCAAAAGTCTATGCGACAATTCATCAATATCAGACAAACTCGTTAGCTGAGAAAGCAAAATCTTTTGTCATATCTGTCTGGTACGTCGGCTAAAAGTTTTGCTGAAACAGCAAAT